TAAATTTCAGAGGGCTTCAGAAAAGTGATAAGTAGGATCCAATGGTCTAAAATTCGTCATGAGAAGTCAGCCCAAGAGGAAAAGGAAGCTCCCAAGAATGAAATTCTGAAGCTACAATTAGACAAAAATTCTGAGCAGTAAGAAAGGGGGAAATGTATTTGGAGACTAATGTGGATATACAGGGAACTCATTGGCTCACTTAGATTTTCACCCATTGACTGAAGAAGTTTTTATTGGAAAAAAAAGGGAGGGGACTCCCAGAAATCCTAGAGTAACTTACTCCCAAAGAGCCCACAATATAAATTCTCAGTGTCAACTCGTTTCAAGAATAACAGTTCCTGTTGCTTAGGCTCTCTCTGAGTCTTATCTCTGCTTGTTGTATTTTCTAGGGCCTACCTGTGCCCAGATAGTGGAAGCTTCAGCCATTGTTCCTGGCTGCTCCTAACCAGTGCTCTCTTGGCATTGCTTTCTGGCTCCATTGTCTGGCAAGGTGAGGGAAAACAACCTTAACAATGCCCTTGTCTGCTGAGAGTTATGGCTTTCTCTCCAATGTGTCCCAGCTCTAGTGATGCTTGTGCTCACAAGGGATTCCCTTTTTACTTACTCAGGTTGTAAATGGATATGTACAGAGATAGAAGCAAGGGTGAGTTTCACAGGATGAATGCATAAGTCTGGCCCAGGCCTCTAAAGAAGGGAGGAAAGAGCATTTATTAAGTACCTCCTATGTACCAGGAGCTTTACAAAAACTATCTCATTTGATCCTTACAACAACCTTGGGAGGCAGTTCTGACTTTACCTAAGTACACAATTCCACAGACCTCTACTTACAGCAGTTTTTATGTAATGCAAATTTGCCAGCCAACACGGGGAAAGGAAGGAGGTAGGAAAGAAGGGGGCCATGCTCCAGTTGGTGAAGGGAGCTGAGAACACGGAAGCAAGAGCAGGAGGAAGAATGGGAAGGGGCTGGGGCCAGCCATGTGGTGGCCTGGCCTACGAGAGAGCAAGAACATGGGGATGGGAGGGAGGCAGACATGTAAGGGCCAGACACCGGTACAGATAGGAGAGGATGGGCAACATGTTGGCGACAGGGACAAACGTGCGGTACTGCGGTTTGGACAGAGGGATGACAGACATGCAGGGGCAGGACACACGGGGGAGTGGCGATGAGGTGGGCGGAGCAGGGTGAAGGTCTCCTCTCTTGTAGTCTCAAGCCAAGTCCACAACCTGTGGAAGCGGAGGCAATTTCTCCGCCTCCTCAAGCCTGTTCTTCTGCTTTTACTTGGAGGGCATTTTATTTTTTGGGGGGTGGGGTTCTTTTGGTGCTGAATGGTAGGCTGGATGAGTGGAGGGGCAGGAGGAGGAGAAGGGGGGGGAGAGAGAGAGAGAGAGAGAGAGAGAGAGAGAGAGCAAGCAGTACTGTACAGTAAGGTTAACATAAGTGGTATTGTGGAATGCAGATTTCTTTCAGAATTCCTCATGTAAAGTCAAACGTGTGTTACACAAATTCACATAAAGCAAGAACTGTCTGTATTATTCCTCAATTACAGTTTAGGAAACTGAGGCAGACAGAGGTTAAGTGACTTGCCCAGGGTCACATAACTAATAAGTGTCTAAGGTCAGATTTGAACTCAGGTACTTCTAACTCTGGGCCCAGTGCTGTACCCATTACAATACCTAACTGCCTTATCTAAGAAGAGCATCAGGAGTGCTAACAGAATGAGCTGAGGGAGATGGGCAAGAACAGCTAAAAACAGCCAAAACTTGTGTTGTAGGGAACAGGAGGTTCCAAGAAAAGACATGACAGCTACTTGGGAAGGACAGGATGATAACAGCAAGCAATGGAGACCAGGGAGGAGGACCTCTAACTTGTAAGGTTCTCAGCCCAGTACTGGTTAGCTGAAAGTTAAAACCCAAACTAATTAAGACAATGGCAAGAGAACACCAACCAGACCTAAATCAGCTCAAGTCATCGGGTCATAACCAACTATACACCAGGGCACCGAAAAACCTGGCAAATGTGATTATTGAACTGCTGTTACTGAACTTTAAGAGGACAGGACAGGTCTCAAATATCTGCACACAAACGCATGAATAATGGGTAATTAAAATGGTGAACTGGAGATCCTAATGTAAGGAGGCACATTCCACCCGATAGTACAATAGTAATTATGTGTAATACTATTTCTGTGATGATTTGGGGTATAATCACCCCAGAATGTAATGTGGAAGTGGAAAGGCATTTGAATAAATTAAAGACATCCAGAATAAAATAATGCATTCTGCTGATTGCTAGTTCCTCAAGACTGGTGGTGGCGGTGCTGGTGGTTGTTCTTTGTGGGGAAAGAGGACCAAAATGACACCACTATGTTGGGTCAAGGTACAGTGTGTTTGACTGTGACTGATCAGTAAGCTCAAAAGGTTCTACCACAGGTTGGGTATAAATAGTCCTTATGAACATTTGGAGGGGAGATATCTCTACATCTGCACATCTCATGTTTCTTTTGAGATAATGCAATTCTGCTTTATAGAGCACAGCACCTTTTTTGATGTGGACCCACCATGCTGGGCAAATGAAGACAAATGAAGATCGATTTTTTAAAAAAGGGAGAGGGTAGAGTCTATGAACTACAAACCAGTGAAATTTACTTTAATTAACAGCAAAGTTCCACAATGGATTATTACAGGAATGGTTTGTGAGCATACAGAAAGGGAAGCAATGTAAGAAGCAGCACAACTTTAACAAGATTTTTTAACACGTTCTCAGACTAATCAGAGCGGCATCATGTCATGTAGTTGTTCAATCATTCAGTTGTGTCTGACTCTTCATGACCCAATGGACCATAGCATGGCAGGCCCTCCTCCATATCCTGATATCTCCACAATACTGGACTTAGAATCAGGAAGACATGGGTTCAAATCCTGCTGCTGATATTGGCTCTATGACCACAGGCAAGTTTACCCTCTGAGCCTTAAGCAACTAAGATTGTAAGTTATTGATGAGTTGCGATTTGTACCCCAATGAAATTACAGGTCCTCAATGTAGATAAGGGTAATGTTGTAGATATGGTTTGTCTGGAGTTTAACAAAGCATTTGATGAAGTTTCTCATGCTCTCCTTATGGACCACAGGGAGAGATGTGGCTTAGGTTATAGTACAATGGGGTAGATTTAGAACTGGTTGAATGAATGGATCAAAAGAATGATCATTAATGTCAACTCGGAGAGAGGGCTAGAGTGAATGCCCTGGAGATTTGGCCTTGGGTTTATGGTGCTTAACACTTTTATAAGTGGTTTGGATGAAGACATAGATGACATCTTCATCCCATTTGTAGATAACATTAAGCTCGGGAAGGTAGTTAACACATTGGACCACAGAATCAGAATCTGAAATTTTTGGCTAGAATGATGGTCTGGATCTACTAAGATTAAATTTAACAGGAATAAATATAAAGCCCTCCACTTGGATTTAAAAATCAACTTCACACACAATAGGGGTGGTGTAGCTGGATAAAATTTGTGTGAAAAAGATCAGGGGTGGGGGGAGGTTTAGTGGACCACTGCGCAACATGGCAGCCAACGATGCTGATCTGAAGTTGTTTTTCTAAAATCATCATATCTAGAACAGGAGAGGTGAGAGTCCTGCTGCTCTCTGTCCTGGTCATATCACATTGTGTTAAGTTCTAAATCCCACATTTTAAGAGGGACATTGATAAACTGGAGGTTTTCCAGAGGAGGACAACTAGGGTGGGGAAGGGAATGGAAACCACACCACATGGGGATCAACTGAAAGAACTGGAAATATTTAACTCGGGGAAGACTTAGGGACGATATGACAACTGCCTCTTCCCTGAAATATTTGAAGGGCTCTCACATGGAAGAGGAATTGGACCCATTCTCTGTGGCTCTTTGCTCATAGGGCGCAACTAGAAGTAACAGGCAGACATTGCAAGGTGGTTCATTTCAACCCAATGTAAGGAAGAACTTCAGGACAATTAGGACTATGCCAAAAGGGGATGGGCTGCCTTGGGAGCAGTAGATTTCTCCCTCGGTAGAGGACTTTGAGGAAAGTCTGGATGGCCATTTGTTGGGGATGCTGCAGAAGGGATTTCTATAGAGGGATGGGTTGAACCAGCTGGACTTCCAGGTTCCTCACAGCTCTTGAGATTCTGAACTTTCCAATTCTGACATTGTATCTTTTAAGGTTCCTTCAGGCTTTAACAATCTATGTCTGAAAGTCTCTTCAAGGTCTTTATTTCCCCTAAGGTTATCTTCCACCTCTCCTACGCTCCAATGTCTACAGTTGTAGAGTCTTTCTTGTTAAATACGGAGATGAGTGAATGTCATGAGTGTGCAAACAGAGGGCAGGGGGCATCTCCTGGGTGGTATTAACAGAGAAAGCCAGCCCTAGAAAGTGATGATGGTTTTTGGACTAATCTGAACTAATTAGATACTAGTCTGAGTGAAGGTTTCTCTCTCTCCACCTGTGTTTATTTCTTGTCCTCTTCTGGTTGGCTTATCTGTTTGTTTTTCTGACATTGGGCCATAAGGCTGATGGTTCAGTTAGGCAGAAGCAGTACCTCTTTCTATCATTTCCATAGCCCCATGAATGGGAAAAACAAAAAGGGAATGTCAACTATAATGTCACACCCCCAAACACCCTCAACTTGGAGACAACCCATGGCCTCCTTCCATGAATGGAGACAAAATTTCCTCTCCTTCCCTCCTTCTTTATGGGAAGAGCTCCCCATATAGAGACGTGGGATCTGTTTCTCGCTCTGCCACAAAAGACACTTCTTTTCCCTAGACCTATTTCCCCAAATGGAGAGGTTGGACAAGATCAGTTTTACCCTTTGAAGGTCTTCTCCATCTCTGACTTTTTGTGTTCTAAGGTCTCCTCCAGCTTTCACTTCCTATGTTCTAAGTCTTTCTTCAGCCAGGAGGCTACAGCCCATCAAACAGATTTATAGAAATCTGAGAGAGTGGAAGAAAACCTAGAGTATGGGGGCAGCCAGTGGGGACAGATCTCTGGGTTTTTTTTTTTTAACTCTACCCACGCTTGGTAATAGAGAAGATTATGAGAAGCACACTCCTCTGAAGGCATGAGAGTGGGACGTCCTTCAACATTGCTGTTGTATGGCATTTTTTATTACTGTCATTCGATGTATGGAGTTGTATGTAGTGGCAGGTTATATCCCACAAACCCTCACACCTGAGGTCGAAGCAGGAATAGCACAAACACTCATCTCAAGATGGCAAATAGTCCAAACATCCTCTTCTTCCATGCCAGGGAGAGGAAAGATACAGTGGAATGAGCCCTCAACTTGGGATCTGCAGATTTGGGTCTGAATCCTGCTTCTGCCACCAACTAGCTGTGTGACCATAGGCAAGCTGCTTAATCTTGCTGACTGTCAATTTCTCTACCTGTAAAATGGGGATAAAAATCCCTACCTTGTTACCCTCATGGGGTTGCTGAAAGCATCCAATAAGACAATGGATGTGAAAGCCCTTTGTAAGCTATAAGCAGTAATGAGCTTGGGAGACTGTAAGGCATTGTATCAAAATTAGGGGGACTATTATTATTATTTTTACCCTGAAAGTTCAATGGTCAAGTAGAGTGCAAATCAAAGACAGGAGAGGCTTAGAAGAAGAACAGAGGAGGCAGCCATGGCCTGAGGAGGAATTATCTGCTGGGGAATGTGCAAAAGTGAAGTGGGTGCATCTTCTGCAGACCCCACCTGAGTGTGTGTGTGTGAAAGAGAGAGAGAGAGTATATGAAAAAGGGTGTATATGTGTGTATTGGAGAAAGAATATGTACGGGTGTGAGTGTGTATGTGAGAAAGAATGTGCTTGTGTGTGTGTGTGCGCGCGCGTGCATTTGTGTATATTGAGAAGGGAAGGTGTGTGAGCAGCCTGGGTCTTGGGTGAGTTTGCCAGGCAGGACAGCCCTGGCTGAGTGACATGGCTACTTCCAGAAGCCCTTGACCCCAGTCTATCCAGGTGGAAGGGAAGCTGGATAGCAGATAGCTCCAGCCTCCTCATTCGGTCACATCGACAGACAGGAAGGCCTTGATTGCTGGGAACTTGCTGCAGGAGAAGTCAATGAGTAGCTGTTTGGTGCCACTCCTAAGGGGAGTGATCTCAAACTTGAAGTTGGAGCGCTCCTTCGGGCGCAGGGATGGCACCCTAAAGGGAAGAGGGAAGCAACAAGCATGAGGAGAGGTCAGAAGAAAAGAGAACAAGTCGCCCCAATCTCATCTAACCCCGGTGACACAGCTTTGGCCAAAGAGTGCTGTACGAAGAGAGACCTCTGTTGGAAATCAGGGGACTTGGATTCTGGTCTTAACTCTGCCAGTGCAGCCACGTGACCTTGGACATGTCACTTCACCTCTATGGCCTCAGTTTTCTCCTCAATTCTTCCTCCCAAATAGTCTATGTGGTCTCTGAGGTCCCTTCCAGTTCTGATGTCTTATATTCTATGATTTAAGTTCTCATGGCTAGTAGGTAAAGGTCTGCAGGGTTGGGGACACTCAGGTGACATCCCTGAAGGGCCCAGTTAGGAGCAAGACTTGGTGACAGCCTCTTGAGTCACTGACTTAGAGCTGGAAGGCTCTCAGAAGTCACCTTATCCAAACCCTCACTAAGTGCATGAATTTCCTCCACTTTTGGGAAAACAAATCAAAAATCCTCTAGTGATGAGGAACTTGCTGCTTTTAGGGACCATTCATTTCATTGCAAGAATGTTAGGAAATCTCTTGTGCGGTGAGCTAAAGTCTCCTTTCCCACTGGTCCTGGGAGAGCCTGCTGGGGCTGGGCAGAACAAACCTAACAGCTGTACACAGAAGCCCCGAACCGAGAGTGAGCCTGAAGGACACCTCAAGTATCCTGTTACAGGACCCTCTTCCTCCAGTCACCCTTGAACTTAGAGGTATCGTAGAGATGATCATATTATTATACATATCTTACAGGTCCATATTCTTCAGAGGAGGAAACTGAGGACCAGAAAAAAGAAGGGACCCAGTCCTATGGAGAACTCTCCGTGTTTGTTTATGTGCCAGAACCTCAGGCCTTTGTGAGGGCCCATCCAATGGTGTTACCTCCTTGTCCTCTCCCTCCTACCTTTGCCCCACAGGCTACAACCCCTTGGTCCCCATAGCAACTGGCAGGGATAGGGTGAAGATGGGAGAAGAGGTGTAAAACACAGGCCTCAATTCGTCACCCCCTAAGGATGGCACTGACTCTGAGTTTCGGGAACTACGTGGGCCCCCCAATCACATTAGATTGAATCAAACCAGCTTCCTGAATCACACCAGTCCTAGCCCAGGGCTGAGGCCCCCAGAACTTACCTAATCTTGAGGCTGCCCCGCATGAGACCACTGCCTTCCACCGTGAGCACACAGTTATTCACCGGTTCATCCAGGGGGTTGGCAAACAGAACCTGCACATTGACAGGGGTCTTCACTCTGGCCTGGTCCAGTAACTGTGGAGAAAAGATGTAGATTACATTATAGCATTGTCTTTCAAGCCCAACCAGTACCTGCTCCTCTGTACCTAACCTAGAAGGCAGTGGGGAGTGGATGGTGTAAGATGCAGTAGAGTGTTGGGGAAATGAGTAGGAGCCAGGAAACCTGGCTTTATAATACCAGCTCTACCACTGACTCACAGATTTAGAAACTTGGGAAATTAGAGCAGGAAGGGCTCTCAGAGGTCATTTAGACCAGAGACCCAGTGAGACCCAGGGGCAACTTACTTGTAATTGGAAATAATTTAATAACCTAATGATAACTGGGTAACATTTAACAAAATAAATTTTAAAATACAATACAATATACATAATGTTAATATGAAGTTTCTAAGTTTCATGGGGGCTTCTGGGATCTTTAGTGGTTTTGTTTCTATTTGAGTTTGATACCAATGAGCTAGACCAATGGATGAGGGAACTGAGGCCCAGAGAGGAGAACTGACTTCTCCAAGGTCACCTGGAGACAGTGACAGAACCAGGAAAAGAACTCAGGACACCTAGGTTCCTAGGTTAGGGTTCTTTCCATTGTGCTCCACTTCCTCTCCCGATTTGACTCTGGGAAAAATACTTGAACATTGACTCAAAAAAATTGGAAGTAAGTTAATATTATTTTGCAATAATATATAATAATAATAATCTTTTAACATAACGTGTGAGTTTAAATTATTCAAACAGACCAGTGACCTCAATGCCATGGCCAATCTAACCCACGCCTGACTACATTATGCGTTCATGTCACTGCTTTTCTCCCAGTTTGCTAGAGGGATGCCCCAATATGCAGGGGCCTCCCTCAATTTTTCCTGACACTTTGTTGGTAATAGTGGAATACAGAGGCTTATTCCTCACTCTCATTATCTGACTATACATTTTTTATTGGGCCTTTCTTCAATAACATCCTTTACTCTGGCTTTTACTTGACATTTCCTTATTTATCATGTATTGCAGCCAGCTCGCAGCCCCCCTCCCACCCTCCATGCCCTTCTCTACTGCTCATGGTGGGGCCCTCATTTCAAATACTCTTCAGAGACTGTAGCGTTCCATAGTCTCCCCCTGGAGACTACTGGTATGAAAAATATGGGCCTTTGTTTATGGGAGAACTTTGGGGTCATTAAAAGAGCACTGCAATTTCCCCAAATTTACCACTTTTCTATTTTGTTCAATACTGTGCCTGCCTTAATGTTTCGCTATGCTGTCCGTTCAAGCTATTCACACTGATGGATGAGTGTCGGAGGTCATCCATCCAGCTGCATGTCATAATCTGGACAGAAAGCCTTCTTTCTTCACTTGGATTTTCCCAGTGCAGATGGACAGGCCAAACTGCCTGGAGTGGTTACAGATCTCTTCCAGGAAGCTGTGCAGTGTTCTGGAGTAAGAAGAAACTAGCAGAGAAATGCTCTATCTTCCTCATTTCCCCTGGGAGGCTGGTGGGGCAGGGATCATTCCAATTAAAGGGGGATGATAAAATGATAACATCCTTGGAATATATAGTTTGCCTCTGGAGAACAGCAGGGGTAACATAGTGAAAAACAGTATTTGGAGTCTGAGGTTCAAATCTCATCTCAGTTACTTGCTACTGGATCACTTTAGATAAGTCACTTAATTTCTCTGATCCTAAATCTCATTGGTGAAATGGGACTTCAAATCCGGTGATACTACTCTGAAACAGACATGCCTCATGAGTGTGTGCCAGAGACGGTTCATTTGTTACCCCATCAAGCTCTCTTTTAAAGCCATCTGTGGTTAGAGGGGAGTCCTCTGTACAATGGTACAGCACAGACTGGTCAGAGCTGGGGAAGAGTTCTCAGGCCGTTCAGGAGGCAGCTTGGAAGGATCCTGGCCTCAGACCCAAGGCTGTGCACAGGTTGACGTGCCTGATGGAAACCCAGCTTCTTTTCTCTCCAGTCCTCCTCCCTCCTGGCTGATCTCTTCCCCTCATCTGAGGCTGGCGTCCCCTATGGTGGACAACTATATATTCCAAGGATGTTGTCATTTTATCATCCCCCTTTAATTGGGATGATTCCTGCCCCACCAGCCTCCCAGGGGCATGAGGAAGATAGAGCATTTCTCTGCTAGTTGCATCTTACTCCAGAACACTGCACAGCTTCCTGGAAGAGATCTGTAACCACTCCAGGCAGTTTGGCCTGCCCATCCACACTGGAAAAAACAAGTGAAGAAAGAAGGCTTTCTGTCCAGATTACGACATGACTCCGGCGGCTTCGTAGTTGAGCTGCCCATGTGTCTGTTGGCTACCAGGCTCTACTGTAGATATTGGCAGTGGAGAGACTGGCTCCACGTGCCTCTCCTCTGCAATGGCTGTTAGACTCCAGAGGCAGGGCCTTGAGACCTTCTGTGCCTCAGTGCTCTCCGGACAGGAGAGGAAGAGGCCCTCTGGGAGCCATGCAAAGTCCCAGTACTGCCACTGCCTAAGAAGGAGACCCTACAGAAGATGCTGCTTCCTCGGGTCTCTTGGTCTCAGATTCATTTGTAAAGGAGTGGACATGCCTTGTTACCTCATACGACTGGATCCTTCTGAGGATCCAAGAAGATAATAGATGCAATTAATCCATATTAATGCATTTTAACAATAAAGGATAATGCGTGCATTTTATAAATTGTAAAGCCCCACACATGTCTTAAAAATTTAGTATTCTCACGGAATTTAGAGCTGGAAGGACCTCAGAGGCCCTCTAATCTAACCTCTTCATTTGATGGCTGAGGAAACAGGCTCAGAGCATCACCGATCTGGGGCTGGAAGGGACCTCAGATGCCCTCTAGTTAAACTCCCTCATTTTATAGGGAAGGAAACGGAGGCCCTGGGAGACTGTGACCTGCCCAAGGTCACACAAGTAGTGTGGAGCATAAATGGATTTCAAACCCAGGTTCTGTGCGTTTGACTCTGCTCAGTGCTCAGTAGCTCCATGCTACCATTTTAATATCTCTTTCTACTGTAAGTAGCTGGTGAGATATATGGGTTGGGGAGAATAGGTGAGATCCTCGGAGAGGAAACCCCAGTTCAAGCCAGAGAATCCCCCATCAGAACGAGGACTCAGCCTTAGACAATCTCAGAGCCTCTTGTGGGCCAGCATCCCCTGAGGGAGACGGGGCACTAGCCTGCCTTGTGCAGGAGGATGAGTAGTCAGGAAGGGAGCAAGCTTCTGAAAAGCTGGCAACTGTTTCCCAACCAGGGTACAGTGTTACTCTGGTGGAATCTGAAGACATCCTTCACTGGCTGTGTTGTCCTGGCTTCCTTCATTCCCCCTTTATTGTGTGTCTCCAGTGTGATCTGAGAGGTTCACAGATGTGTCTTAAACCAAAAAAAGTTGACAAATGTTGGGACATAGGAAAAGGGGAAGGTAAAAAGGGAGTGTGACTATTTATCTTATTGGGCATGTGAATATGGCACCAGAGAAACAGTCTGGTACAAACCCCTGGCTTGAGACACTGCTAGGTCCGAGGCAGGGGTCATATTTGCACCAAGTTCCCTGGCTTTGTGTATATTTAGGAAGGATCTTCTTCTTTGAAAGAACTGAGGGGTTGTGGGTATGGCAGTGGTTTCAGCATCTTCAAGATATGGCTATACTAGGGGCAGCTACGTAGAGCAATGGATAAAGCTCTGGCCTTGGAGTCAGGAGGACCTGAGCTCAAATATGGACTCAGATACTTCATACTTACTAGCTGTGTGACCTTGGGCAAGTCACTTAACCCCAACTGCCTCATCAAAAAGCAAAAAAAAAAAAAAAAGATATGGCTATACTAATTTCAAAGTAATGAGTGTGTATGAATATTGGTGAGGGTCCCCTCACCTTTAACCTTTATTCACAGGGTCTCTCCCCTTTAGTACCCCCACATCCTCCAGCCTACAGCAGGAGCATCCTACCTCCAGAGTAATGGCAGGGTTGTCCAAGATGACATCTCTCTCCACTACGACCTCGGCTTCATCTGTAACTTGACACACAGCAGTGATGCGGATCATGTTGTCTGCCGTCAAGAAGTTTTCATATTGAGCGTATGTGAGCTTCAATGGGTATTCCATCTCTGGAAGGAGAATTCCAAAATGAGTGTGAGTTTTCAAAGGAGGTGAATGTGAAGCTGGCTTACTCTGGGGAAATGTTTTCTGGCCAATACTTGGGTGATTTCCCTCTTAGTTAATTGCTGATAAAAATACTTCCTTTCTTGTGGATGATGGGATGGCCACACATTTGGCTAACAGCTGCCCTGGGATTAGGATAAGACATCCACCATAAAGAAGTTGGCCACACTCCCAGGAGGCCAGACTTATATAAGGGAGAGTTTTCAAGAGCTAAGGCACTGCCATTCCCTCCCTTTCCTAGAGAAGAATGAAGGACATGTAAGTCCCCAGGGCCCAGGCATGTTTGGGCCAGGAGGGCTGCACAACTTGTGAGTGATGCTCTCCTTCCTACCCTCACTTGCCAGAATCACAGAAAGTGGCTGGAGCCACAGGCTACATTTGAGTTCAACAGGAAAACTCACTTGAGCCAGGAAGGCATATCTCAAACTCAAAGCAAACTTTGAGGGTGCCAAGTTAAGGAGAGGTATGGAGCCTAAACCAGGAGTTTCTGTACTGGTTTCAGACCCTTCCACCTGCCTACTGGTTTCACTGCAAAGTTTAGGGTGGATGTGGGTCTGTGCTCTTCACCGTCCTCCTTTATAGGAGGACTCTGGGGCATTCTGTCCACTTGGGTAATACCAATGGCACAGGTTTATGTATTGCTTTATGGTCCCAAGATGCTTCACATACAACACTGCATTGGACTGTCACAACAACCCTGTGAGGCAGGCAGTGCAGGGGTTATTATTCTCATTTTATAGACAAGGAAACAGACTTGGAGAGAAATAATTTGCTTGTGGTTGCATAGTAAGATCTAGACATCTGGGTAGTAAAGGGTAGAGACCCTGTGAGTGAGGGTTAAAGGTGAGGGGACACTCACCAATACACGTAGACACATAGTAACATAGTGAGTTAATGGCAGAGACAGGTGTCAAACCTAGGTGTACTGAGTCCTAGTCCAGTGCTCTTGGCTTCATACTTTGTTTCCATTTCCCCCAGAGGAGAAGAGAGTTCAGGTTTCTTCCTTTCCTTTTTCTCCTCCTCCCCACCCTATTTGGATGGTAAAGACACTCCTGGGCCTCTACCAGGGTCTGACCTCTCTGGGGCCTGTCTGACCCATGTCTCTCACCCCAAGTACTCTCTGTAAACAGAGCTCCAATGTCCCATAGCTGCTCTGCAAAGGTTCTGTATGTCAATCACACAATCCCCAAAGTCAGACTAGACAGGCCCATGCCTGAGAGAGGCAAAGAGACAAATGATCGTCTCAGACCTGGCCTCTGAGGCCATCTGTGCAATGAAGGAATTAAATTAGATGATCTCAATTGTCCTTTACAGTTCTGACATTCTAGAGTTCTATGGCAACAGCTCCCTACTCAGTGCCCCTCCCCACCTCTAGTCTCCAATCTAGCCTGCCAAGCCAAACTTCCTAAAGTACCTTCCTCCTCTGTTTGAGAATATTCAATGACTTCAAAAGCACTATTCCCCTGCTTACAGGTGAAGTGCAAAGTCCTAAACCTGGCATTTAAAACCCTTTATAATCCGGTCCCAGCCAGCCTACCTGGGAGGCTGCTCAGAGGCATAAGATGAAAAGAGTGCCAGGCCTGAAGTCAGGAAAACCTCAATTTAAATCCAACCTCAGGCATTAGTTTTATGACCCTGGACAAGTCACTTTACTGCCATTTGCCTCAGTTTCCTCATCTGTAAACTGGGAAAAATAAAGGTACTTATCTCTTAGGGTTGGTGTGAGGATGAAATGAGATCTCTGAACTTCAGTTTCCCCACTTGTAAAATGGAGATAATAAGTAATATTACAACAACAAAATCATCAACGTAGTATCTACATCACAGATGGAGATGGTTGTGGTTGTGGAGAAAAATGTCATTTCTTTAAACCTTAAAACACTATTTTTTGTTATTATTATAATGTTTGCCACTCGGAGAAGGTATAAGGGAAGGGCTGTTGTTATTATAGTTTTTTCCCAACCAGAACCCACGGAAGAGGGAAAGTTGTAGTTCTGGTTCGGCAGAGGACCCTGGAGCTCAGGAATTGCTCTGTAATATACAACCCAACTTTGAGAAAATCTTTTATCCAAGAACCTCAAAGAACTTAGGCCACTTCCCAGACTGCCCCAGTCTCTTCCCACCAGTGACCTGGATTCTGGCCCTGGTCTCTTGGTGCTGATAGGTTGGTTTCTGCCTGATTTTGCTAGGCCCAGAAGTATAATCTGGATTATTAACATTTACACCATCACTTTCTTAAATCTAGACAAAAAAAGCAAATAACCCCCCCCCGGTTTGTAACATTTGAAGATTTGCAAGGTGTAAATGCTCACCCTGAAAATTTAACAAATGGCTCTTGAGAGCTGGCACACACTGGCTCTAACCCCTTGCCTGCCCACTCCACACCTTGCGGGTGTGTGTGCCTTCCCTTCCTTCAGCCCTCTGTGTGTCTGCAGGCCCCATTAGAACAGAAGTTCCTGGAGGGCAGGCTTTGTCTTGCTTGCTTGAATTTATATCCCAAGAGCTTAGTACAGTGCCTAGCACATAGTAAGTGCTTAATAAATGTTTTGTCTATCTATGAATGAATAAAACATTTATTAAGTGGTTACTATGTGCAAAGTGCTCGGCTAAGTGCTGGGAATATAAATAGAAAAGTAAGACAGTCCCTGATTTTAGGATGCTCAAACTCTAATGGGGGAGACAACACATGGATCTATCTATCTATCATTATTTTATCCTTCCCGGCTTGTCCCCTCTCTCCCTCTTCACTCATCTGGCCAGTTTGGAATCCTTTGGGTCTCTTCTTGACTGCACTATGTGCTGCTACAGCCAGCTCCTATTATTTTCCATACTGCAGTGTGGAATCAATCAATAAGCATTCAATAAACCTTTATTAAGTACCTACTATGTGCCAGGCATAGTTCTAGGTCCAGGGGATACAAAGACAAAAGTGAAGCAGTTCCTGCTCTCAGGGACCTTCCATTCCATTGAGAGGGACAACATTTCCACCTTCTTTGTAACAGTATTAACTCAGTGACTTTGGGCAAGTCAATTGCCCCCTCTGAGCCACAGGTTTGATAACTGTGCAGCGGGGGCAATAATCTCTGCCGTGCCTACCTTCTTTGTAGGGCTGTCATAATACCTAGAGCTAATGTACATCTGAGAATTCTGTCAACTGTATATTGTGGTAGAAGAGGGAATTATGAAGGAAAGAGCTCACAAATTACCTTCTTGAGGGTCCAGAGAAGCTGTGATGGAGTCCTTCCACACCTCGTGTACCAGAGTCCCATTGTATACAATGGTCCAGGCTGTCATGTTCACTGAGACAGTCTTCCAGTCGTCACTCAGGTTTTTGAGCTGCAGGTTCACGTTGACCTCTTTCCCCACTTCCAGAGGGCCATTGACCTTGAACTTCCCAGAGATGCTGGGTGGCTTGGCTTCTTGGTTTTCTGCCCCAGCTGCTGTGGGGCCAAATGCCCCAGAATTGGGCTTCAGTTTCTGCAGAGCCTGCTTGAACACCTCCCTCTCCTCCTTGGAACCTGTGCAAAGGGGGAGGGAGAAGGTGTTGGAGGGAGTCTAAGGTGTTTGGAGGCGGCATTATAATAGTGGCAAGAGCACCAGACTGCAGGGTTTGAAGTCCAGTCTTGCCTTTGTTATTGATCTGCAGGGTGAGTTGCTTCCCTTCCCCAAGGAGTCTCAGTATCCTCACCCGTAAAACAGGGAAGTTAGACTCCTGGTCGATCTCTACTTAGCTTCCTTTTAGCTTTAAGATTCTAAGTTTGACTCGTTTCAATCCATAAATATTTATGAAGTATCTACTACAAGGCACTAGGGACACAAACATCAGTACAAAACAGATGCTATTCTTAAGGAACTTATGATCTCAGGACAACTCTAGGCCTGACACTCTATGTTCTAGGGTCCACTCCAGCTCTAACAACCTATATTTTAGGTTGTAACTGTCTGTGACTGTGAGCCAATGTAAAGCCCCAATCCCTTACACTGTCATACAAAATAAGGCATCTCAATGGAAAGACGGAAGATGGAATTATTGGCCCGCCCCTAATCTCCTCCTGTGTTGGCCCCAGGAAGGTTCAGCTCCAGCTTTCAAGGGAGAATAGTCAATAAGATTACCAGAGCAGCCAGTTCCTTGAAGTGTTGGTTCCTCTTGGCTTTTTCCCATCCTTCAGTCAAGATGCAGGCTGAACAACTGGGGCCAAGCGCTAGGCTGGTAACTGTATTTTTGTGCCCAAGCTGTGTGCAGAAAGAGGCTCCTACTGGGGCTGGGGCAACGTAGGTCAGCTGCTGGGGTTTGCCCAATGATCTGGACTTCCTACTCCTGTTTTCAGTCTTTAGCATTTTTGATATGCAAAATGCTTAGCAGCTACTTTTACGAGCTACTCCTTGGGGCAAAGTTAGCGTCATTAGGTGAGGAAATTGAGGCTGACTGGTCAAATGACTCGGCTTCATGTCACGTAGGGGCTGGGCTGTGGCAGAGCCCAGAACCCAGGTTAGGTCACCTGGATGCCACTGGGTCATTTTCCCCCTTAAAGGGTCCAGTAAGGGGGTAGAAGTAGCCAATCCAAGCTGCATGGGGCCAGTCGGGGAAAAAGCAGTGGACCAACAGCCAGGTCCTGGATCTGCCAATGACTCTTGTGTGACCTTGGGTAAATCATTTCACATTTCTGAGTTTCAGTTTTCTCATCTGTTAAATGGGGTTAATAATACCTGCCTTGCCTACATCATAGGGCTCTTGTGAGGCAAAAATAAGAGGCTGTATATGAAAACTTACATGCAAATGCTTCCCTTTGTAACTACACTTTATAAAGTGGTTGTTACAATTAAGTTGTGGTCTATTTGTTAAATAGTTCTTTTGTTTCTAGTCTCACCTTTTATTCTAGGCTTTTTGCATTAACATGACATTAACTTGGAATGAGTCAACTCTCACATTTACCTCTTAGGTCACATGGGACATTTATTTGCTGAGACCTATTTTCATTCTGAACTCTTAGGCACTTCCAGAGGGAAGTTCTTTGTGACTGTGGACTGGGGGACAGTCTCTACCCTTGGTTATAGAGTCTCTTCAGAATAGTGACATAAAGCTGATGTAGTTGTGATTGTAGGTGGGGATGGAGCAGGCAGTGTCTGTATGCAAAGGAATCTTCTTCCTGGCACTGATTAAGCCCATGACTATTTCCTACATAAGAACCATAAAACAGAGAATATCAGAGCTGGAAGAGACCTTAGAAAAGATGATGTTAGCTCCAAAAGGGACCTTACAGGTCATCTACTCCAACCCTCTCATTTTATGGATGAGAAAACTGAAGTCTGAAGAGAATAACTTTATCTAAAGTCATGCAAGGAGTTGATAGCACAGCCAGGGTGAGACCTCAGCCACCTGACTGCCAGTCTACTATTCTTTTCATTATACTCTCTTGTCTGTATTTTGAATCAGTGTGTGTTAGGGATGGGAGCAATTGTTTGTGTAAGGGTAGGAGGCTATCTGGAGTTAGGCAGGAGAGAGGAAGAATCAAAACTGCTGTGTTAATCCTCTGAATTGGGATCAGCAAACAGGAAGTTTTGGGCATTAACTGTAGGGATAAGCTAAGCTGGCAGGGGTTGTGGATGGGCCCAAAGCAGTCTTAGAAAGGGAAGAGGGAGAGGGAGTAGAAAGAAATGGAAGAAGAGGACAAAATCTAGAGAAAGGAGGGAAAGAAAGATAAAAAGGAGTTAATAAAAAATATACGCCTAGGAATCCAGAGACCTTGATTTTAGTCCTGGCTTTATTACTAATAAGCTGGGTGACCTTAGGCAAGTCACCTCTCTGGGCCTCAGTTTTCCTATCTGTGGAATTCGAGAGTTGGATTATATTACATCTCTAAAGTTCTTTTCAGTCAGAACCTTATACATTCTATGTTCTCAGGTCTATTCTGTGTTCCTTTTAGTTCTGATATTATGTGGTCTATGTCTTCAGTGACATTTTAAAATTCTACAGTGTAAGGTATCTCCCAGCAATGACATTCTTTTTCTAGGCTCTAAGGAACTTTCGATGATTGCGTCCATTCTGTGCTTTAAGATTCCTTCTTGCTCTGACACAGACTGTAGTCTAGGATTCTACATGGATTATTTCAGGTGCCATTCTGTGAAGCCAGTGCCATAACTCATTCAGTTAGGAAATATTTACTAAGGTCTGTTGGGGACAGAGCTCTCTGCTAGGTACAACGACAAAGACGACCAAACATGGTCACTGATATTTTGAGGAGATAGTCACGGTCTAGACGGCCTTAATTTTTTCCCCTACTTTTCTTGCTTCCCTTCATAACACCATCTCCTGGCTTACTTTTCAGTGATTGTTGCTTGTAGGCATCATGGCCTTCTTTAGAGACAAGCCCCCCCCCCTTTTTGAGGTTGTTCAGATTATGTCACTTCACTGCTGAAAACTAAACAGGCTCCCTACTGCCTACAGGACACAACCCAAACACAATCTGGCACCTGAGGGCATCTACCACCTGGCTTCCCTTGGCCTTCCTGCCCCATTGTTACCTTCCAAACTGACAATTTGTTCTCCCTTTCTTAACATGGCCTGGATGCTTTTGTTCCCATTGATCCATATGCTAGAAAGCCTTATCTTTGACATTCAAAATCCTACTTACCTTTTAAGACCACCTCTTCCACGAAGCTTTTCCCGATCTTCCTGATTACTGCCATCTCTGTATCTCCATGATACTTTATACCTTGCTGACACTCATTTCACACTCCCTAAGAGAATCATTTGCAGACTTGGCTTCTACCTCCCCTAGCCAGCAAGCTTGAGGAGAACAGAGACCATGCCTTATTCATCTCTCTATCCCTTAGGACATCAAATACCAGGAGCTATCCAGAGCAGATGCTTATATATAGTTGCTAAATGAGTGAATGAGAGAGAATGAGTCCTGCCACGTTTGGAATCACAGGGCATGAGATGGATGGCCCTCTTCCTGGGCGTGACAGCCCTGTCTCTGGACCAGGGACCTCACCTTCAGCATATTTGTATTTGTCTGTGACATCCATGCGGGAATTGCTGCCCACGGCCTTTGTGCTGATGAACCTGCCCACAGAGCTAGTTTTGGAGGAGGTTTGTTTTTTGCTGTTATCAGAGTTGATAATCCAGGTGATCTGGTCAGCATTCACTTCCGAAAACACAAAGGGCATATCAAAGTCCAGGTTCACATCACCTTGCCGGATGGCAATGACAGAAGCAGGACCACACTGGAATATTCCTAGGGCACAAGGAGTCAGACAGAGCATGAAGATGCAGCCCAGGCATCCCCACCCCTGTGCCATTCCCTGCACCCTGAGAAGGCCCTTCAATTATGTCTATGTCCTTCCTTTTTCTCCTCTGCCTCTCCAGATCCCATCTGTCTCTCAAGAACCAGATCAAGTCCTACTCTTCCATGAAGTCTTCCTTGAACACCTCATCTCTAAAGGATTGCTCCCTCTTCTCACCTCTGATAGACTATACTGTCTGTACCACTCACTGAATTTTTGTCATACGCTTCCCAGGAGTGTTAGACTGAGGCCAGGAGCTCCTCAGGGACACAGACCATGCTTTCTGTTCTAATATTTGCTACCATATTGTAGCAGAGTTAAAGTGAGGCCTGGCAGGGCCAGGCTTCTACCCTTTGATGAGCACAGGCCCTAATTCTTATTTAAGAAGTGCCAGAACAGGAAGAAGGGTCATTAATTTGGGTGGGCCTACAGGACTGCATTAAAGAATGATCAGTGTGACACACAGGCTATAATAAAAAGCTAGGAACATTTTTGTTAAAGTATCAAACGATCAGTAGACTGAGGGCAAGGAACACATCCTATCTGAATTTTGTATCTTCTTTGGCCCCAGTAAGGCATTCTACATATAGCAAGCTCTTCAGAAATCTTTTCCCAATTGAATCCTTTACTATTAGGAAAAGTCAAAGCTGAGACAAGGCATTTATTTCTGGGCCATGTAATTCCGTGACTGAAACAGCAACAGACTTGCTGTCAGAAGACTTGAGGTCAAATCTTGAATTTCTTACTTACTATTTATGTAACTTTGGTTAACTCATGTCACCTTTCTGGGCCTCTGTTGCCTCAAAGGTAAAATGAGAGAATTGGATGACATGATATCCAAAGTCCCTTTCAATTCTAAGTCTTAGGATCCTATGAAAAGTGAATGACCTCTACTTTGTGGAATTGCTGAGTGCCTTAGTCCCGTGGAGAATTCAAAAGGAGATGACATGACCTCTGACCTCATGGAGCTCATTGTCTACACAGGGACCTGAGCCTCACAACAACGAGAAATTATGAGTCACACCAGGTTATGTGTGATCAGGGCCCAATGAGAAGTTAAAAAAATGAAGAGCTATTCAAGTCTATATAAAGAGGAACTTCTTTACAACCAAAGCTGTTAAATCCAAAGAATGGGCTGCTTTGGGAAGCAGTGAGCTTTCCACTGCTGGACGTCTTTAAGTTAAAGCTGAATGATGTGTCATCAGGGTTGTTATAGACAGGGCTGGACTAGTTAACCAATGAATTCTTTTCTAATCATAAAAATTTTGTGATCCGCTGAGTTCAAAAATGGGAAGGAGAGATCAATAAGGCCAGTGGCAGGGCCTTGAAAGATGGGTAGAATCTAGATCCACAGAGAGAAGGGGTGGGGGCATTACAGACACTGAGAAAAGATATGGAAACAGGAGAACAGAAGGCATGCTTGCATTTGGGATGGCATGATGGCCACTCTGGAACAGAGGATCTGAGTTTGACAAAAATGGGAGATAAAATTGGTACGTAGGCAGTGAGGATGGATTATGAAATTTAGACTTCATCCTGAGGGAAGAAGGGAGCCAATAAAAGTTTTTGGGCAGGGAATGACATATTGAAAGCAGTATTTTAGGAAGTTTCTCCCCGGCAAATGTTAAATCCCAGGATGGCTTCCTGAAACGTGTATCATGGCATGGGGTAGCTAGCTACCTTCCCCGCCTTTAAGTGGTATGGGGTCAGAGAATACAAATCCATTTTATTATCGGTCAAAACCAAACAGAATAAGAAAGCTAAATTTGCTAGGGAAAATATAATCTCAAAGACAAAGAAATAACTTTGATACCATTTGTATCATCCTCCCCATTTCTCTCCATTAGTCAAGGATATAAAAATTTAGCTGAACCATGACCAATCCAAGAACCAAGAAAAGTCAGACCAACTTAATCTTAGTAGATTACCTTGACTCTTCTCCTGCGGAGTTGCATCCAATACTTGCCATCCATTATATTGTGAGCTCAAGTCAATTCGAACAAACCAGGCTTCATTCCAGACATGAAAGTTCCTGAATAACCAGATCATAGTTAACTTAGATCATTAGGGTCAGGTCAACTAGCCCAATCCTCTTGTTTTACAGATGAAGGAAACAGTTGTTGTAGTAGAACTATTTCAGTAGCAGTTATTTACCACATGAACTTGAAAAGGAGATATTTCTCCCATAATGCAAAGAAAATCTGATCACTTGAGGGGCTTTCAAGTATGGGTTATAAACTAGATGGCCTGTGAAGCACCCCTGAGATTCTGTGATTCTGCTGCAGTGAATTCCAAAGCTATAAAGACCTGGAGTTGATCTGGAACCTCAAAGTAGCTCTGTCCATCTCTGCTCAACTCCCAGATTTGGAACGGAGAATAATTTCATTCAATCAACCAATATTTACTGAGCTTTCACACAAAGTCCTAGGCTCTGCATAGTTGAAGACAAAGATATACACCCCTGCTCCCCAGGAGTCTGATCTAGTGCAAAGAACACTGGACTTAGAAGGAGGGTTCAATTTCGGCCTCCTTCACTTACTACCTGATTGACCTCAGGCAAGTTTATTTTCCCTTCCTGAGTCTCAGATTCCTCATCTCTAAAACAGGGATAATGATATTTGTCCAGCTTTCCTTACAGGAATGTTATGAGGACTGAATGTGTTAATGGGTATGAAATCACTTTTGAAAAGCGCTACACAAATGTTACGTGACTACTTCTATTAGCAGAGATGATGATAATTTTAATAGAGAGAATAGGCATATACAAAGATAACTATACAATCCAATAGACTGTATGTCAACTCTCCCCAAGACAATAACTATCACAAGGGCTCAGGGAAGGGAGGGAGCACTGTGGCTTGGGATGGTCAGGGAAGGATTCTTGGAGATTCAACTTGACCATGGGATCACAGACCTGGAAGGGACCTCAGAGGTCATCTAGTCCAACTCCCTCACTTTACAGACGAGGAAGTTGAGTCCCAGTGAGGTTAAATGACCTGCCAAGGGTCAAACAGTGCTATCTACAATCCGAACCTAGCCACTGCATTCAATCAGTCCTCAGAATCTGACACACAGTAGGCACTCATAAATGTTTACTGAATTGAATTAGAGCTCTGCCTCTAGGCTGGGAGTTGGGATCAAGCCCTTGGGACAAAACTGCTTTTGCAAAGGGGTGTTTATCTGTAAGGGTCTTCATTCACCAAGCATTTGTTAAGCATTTACTATGTGCCAGGCACTTTGCTAGGTGCCTCGGATATAAAACTACAAATGAAACTAGTCTTTGCCCTTCAGGAGCTTACATTTTACTGGGGGAATGCAACACGTATACAAGTAAGTAAATACAAAGTTGTATGAGAGAACCTTGATAATGGATATGGGGACCAGGAAAGGTTTTGTGTAGGAGATGACATCTGAGCTAAGCCTGAAAAGAAGCTAAGGATCCTAAGAAGTAGAAGTGAGGAGGGAGTACATTTTAGGCATGATACTTTATATAGTTTTAAGGTCTGTAAAGGGCTTTGCAAGTATTATCTCACTTTATCCTCACAACATTCTTGGGAGGTAGGCCATGTGAGTTGGACAGATGATCACTGAACCAATGAAAATTAATGAGACCACATAAAAGGTAGAGTATAGAGAAAGAAGAGGGCCCAGATCAGACCCTTGGGAGCCACTCACAATTAGATGCTGAACTTGAATGATGAATCATCAAAGGAGTCCCAGAAGGAACATTCAGATAGACAGGAGGAAAACTAGGAGGAAACTGTCATAGAAATCCAGGGACCACCCAGGGGATAGTAAGCAGTGTCTAATGCTGCAAAGAGGTCAAGAAAGATGAGGACTGAGAAAAAAAGTTGGGTTTAGCAATTAAGAGTCTTGGCCTGAAAGGGAAATGTTGAGGTTGAGTTGATAGGTAGCAATTTCTGCTCTGTTACCCATGGATAAGAAATTAAAGTAATATTCTGTGAGAACTCGGACTATTCTTGGCAGATACTTTGCTATTTTGGGCTCAAAAAACTCACAGAAACTGGAGTTGGAAGGGACCTAAGCATACAAAATATTAGAATATAGAAAGCAAAAAAGCAAACCTGGCATGGATAGATCTTAGACCATAAAATGTGAGGGCTAGAAGGGATCTCAGAGGTCATCCAGTTCAATCAAGACCTAGAGGGGTGAAGTTACTTGTCTAAGGTCACACCATTTTTCAGTTCCATATTCTATTACTATACCAGACTGGCTCCAGTATGTACATTCTTATCTCAGTGAGTAGCTCAGAAAGCAATTCCTGTTTCACAGGTTCTGTGACTATGGAAATAGTAACAAGTCAGGGGTGGGAAACATTTGTAGGGAAAGTTTACAGGGAAAGTCATAGCAGGCAAATTTCCATCATTCCAGACTGGAAGTATAGAACATGCCATTTCTCTATTTTACAGTAAGGCAAGTCACTTCATTTCTTTGGGCCTCAGTTTCCTCATGGGCCTCAGTTTCCTCATCTGTACAGTGAATAATAGGGAAAGACTGCATAATCTACGGTCCTTTCCAGATCTGACAGTCAATATTCTAAGGGTCTGACCGTCAGTGTTTTATGGTTGATGACCTTACAAATGAACTAGAGGTCTCATAGGTCATGGACTAATTTCCTAAATTTCTATTCCTTAAAGGGTACCTGACAGCATTCTGTCCTGGGGGAGGGGAATATCTCCCAGGTCTGTAGCCTATGTTGCACTGACAGACACCCAGGAATGTGTTCTCTGGGAAGCAGGGCTTTAAGAAAGACCAGGTGAGGTGAGTATTCATCTTTGAAGGTATGAAGCTGGGGGTGGAAGGGGGCTGAGGTGGCTGGCTGATGGGTCAGAGGTGTGAAGGTACCTGATTGAGTCTGAGCTAAGGTATGAGGATACTTGTCCAATCTGCCTAAAGCAGCCTGTTCCTGCCCTTTCTTTTCTCCCAGGGATTAGGTTGTGCAGCATTCTACAGAACATGGCATGACCTGGAGCACTTACTGCTTCTACCATTCATGGCAAGCTGCATTTTTGTAAAAAATAACACCTGCTCTCTCTCCAACTGGATTATAAGTGCCTTAAGGGCAGAGTGTGTCTTGTTCATCTTTTAACTTCAACACACTCAATGTCCTCCAACTTTTATCACCTAATATACACAGTGGGTGTTCAAAAAATGTTTGTTGTTTATGATTGGGTTGATGTTATCAGGAATAACATAAGCCTTGAAAATATTTTATTGTTAGATAGTTGGTCAGGGGGAGATGGGGGAGAAAGATAAAGAGTTAGAATAAATAGCCATTCAGGTGCCTTCTGAGTCTGACCCTCTATTATCCTATGAGTCTAAGAAAAAAGGATTTTTTCCCTCAGGTACTCAGTACCAGGGGAAACATTTAAGGGCTACCAGGACAAAATAGAAACAGTGCTGGGTTCAGAGTCAGGGGACCTGGGTTCAAGTCCATGCCCTCTTATATATGACCAGGGTGGCCTCGGAAAAGTTGCTAATAAGGGGGTTGGACCAGATGACCTCTGAGATCCCTTTTAATTCTTAATCTATGATTCTTGGAATAGCCCCAATCCTGCCTCAATGAGCCCGGAGCTGGGCTTCCAAAGAGCTCCTTAAGTACAGGAAATATGCAATCCAGTTTGTGGATTTAGAAAACCAAGGCGACTCAGAGACAAATGAAACGTACACAAAGACACGTACACATAACAGAAACATCAAGGTAAAAGTTAACCACAGCCTAAACTGTTTCAGCTGATTTGGTTATGCTCACTGACCGGGCTGGGCCTGAGGCTTCATTTATGTTAGCAGACAAAGGAGTCACAGAAAAGCCCTGGGGAAGTAGATACTGAGTGGAAGACTCTCTCTGCCATCTGGTGTCAAACTATGGGATGAACTCCGTGGTCTAAAAATGAGATTCAACCCTTTAGCTGTTGCTCTGTATTTGAGGACTGTTAAGGCTGGAAGGGCCCTGAAAGATCATCTGGCCCAACTGGAGCTCATTTTAGAAATGAGAAAACTGTAGTGAGAATTAGAGAAGGCATTTGCTCAAGGTTATACATGAAGCAAATGGGTTCCTAATTCTCAGTCAAGTACTTTTTCCACTTCTAGGGTTCCACCCTTGGACAAATATATTTCCTACCTCCTCACAATCAAAAAAAAATTTGGCTTTGACTTGAAGTCTGTTTGGGTATGTTGGGGCTGTTCTATTTTCTGACTTGGGTGTTTGGTGGGGGCAGGGGAAGGAAGGCTCAAATTTAAGAAAAGTTCTTTGAGGAACACTAAAGTTTCATCTGAGGGACTGACACCTTGTGTTGGCTCAATATTGCTTTGCTTCTGATCTGACCAGCAAGATGGACACAATAGGGTGCCCTCCCAAAGGGAGGTCAGAATGGGGTATTCTGACCATCTTGGCATCATGAAATATGGACTGGTCTGCCCTGTGGTGATCACCTTGCTCAGGATACAGTTCAGCAAGGTGTACCAGTGATTTTGGCTAAAGAGGGGGTGACTCCTTTCCCACCAGCCCTGTGATCAGATGCCACTGATGCCAACTGGAGATAACTGGGAGAAGGCCAGTGACAGACCATGATTACAACTTACTATACTGTGATTTATAGGTCCTTGAGATAATATCAGCTAATCAGGGAAGGGGGAACTCTGTGCAATAATGGATCAGAAAATCACTTTGGGTTCTATGGTATCACAGAATCATAAGAGGTGAATGGGAATTTGAGGCTTCTAACTTATACATGATCATGAATCCCTTCAATTATATATACACCATGGGTATTATAGCTTACTTAAGTATTATTAGCTTACATAACAAATCAGTTTATCCTCTTGTTAGATGGTTCTGTTTGTCCTTGGAATAGTGAATTCTTATTATACTGAGCCAAAATCTGAGACCCTGAAACATCCCCTTACTGGTTCCAGTTCTGCCTTCTAGAGCCACCGAGAAATAAGCCTGCTTCCTCATTCCCATGATAGTGTCAGATAGCTGAAGACAACAATTACATTCCCACCCAAGTCTTCTCCAGGCTAAATACCCCAGATTCCTTCAACTGATCCTCATATTTAGGGGGTGGCTAGGTGGCACGGTAGATAGAGCAGCTGGGCCTGGATTTGGGAACACTTGAGTTCAAATCTGGCTTCATATGATCCTAGGCAAGTCACCTAACCCCTCTTTGCCTCATTTTCCTCATCTGTAAAATGGTGATAATAATAGCACCTACCTCCCTGAGGATCAGATGACATAATAATTGCAAAGCACTTAGCACAGTGTCTGGTGCACAGTAAGTGCTATAGAAATGGCAGCTATCATTACATGTCATGATTCTGAGGCCCCTCCCCATCCTGACCATTCTCCTTTCTTTGACCTGTTCCAGCTTGTTGATGAACTTTCTGAAATGTGGTGCCAGATGGATTCTGACCAAAAATAGAGTTGCATTAATATAGTTTAGGATAAAATCAAGATTATTTATTACCTGTTCTTCACAGGATTCCACTAAACACGAATAGTATTTGTATTGTGCTATAAATTCTTGCAAAGACAGGTCCTAATTACCTACCAAGCCTAAATGACTCTAGGCCTTCTTTCCCCTGATAGTGCTGGGATTAAGAGAAAGAGGGTGTGGCTTCCCTGGGAGGAGCAGCTGCTGGGAGGGAAGAGACCTCTAGAGAATCAGAATTTTTAAGATGACTTTAGAGATCATTTGATCCATTCCCCCCAATTTATATAGGAGGAAACTGAACCCTAGAGGGTAAATGACTTGCCAGGGGCACAGAGCCAGGTAATGGCACAATTAGGGTAGGACCCACATCTTCTGATCTTTAGTTTCCACTACCCCTGGCAAATAAGAGAAGGGGGTGGGGATCAGATCCCACAGCTTTCTGTTTAGTATTCACATAGACTGGGGGGAGGAGTAGCGGGGGGGGGGGCACACGCACTGAGGGATCTTCAGGCTGCTTCTGGAGGAACATCCTGACATAAGCCCTGGCCTCCTACAGGGTTGATGCAGAGTCGGGGGCTATACGGCTACATGCAGAGCTGCTCTGCTGGTATATCTGGATGGGCTAGGCAGGTGTGGGGGTTAGGGGACTGATGTGAAATTCCGCCCAGAGCTTCCCACTGCAACCCTCATAGACTTCTTAAGGCATTTAAAATGGCATCAGGTGGCAGAGCAGAATTCTGCAAAGAGAACTGGAACTCAGGAGGTCTAGGTTCTAGGTTTGGTTCTGCCACTTTGCTAGTTGTATCTTGGGCAAATAACTCAACCTCTGTGAGCCTCAGGTTTTTCCTAAGTAGACTGAAAGGTCTGGATTAGATATCTCCAGGAAACCTTCCAGTTTTAACCTTCTCTATTCTGTGCTCCCTTTAAGCTCTGAAATGTTCCAAGGTCCCAGCAATTTAATACATGTTGGCTCTGAGGTCGTTTTCAGCTCTGATATTCTATTTTCTAGATTAGCTCCCAGTTTTAAGTTCTAAGAACTCTTCTAAGCAAAGTTTTTACAATTTTAAAACTGTCTGCACTAAGTGAAATTTCTAAAATACATTTTTCTTTTGATTAGGCTTGATTCCAAAGAGTGAGCAACCATTGTGATAGCGGGTTTTCTGAGTAACCTGTTACCAAAACACTACATTGTGTGTTCCATTCTGTCAGATCATGTGCTGAAATAGGTCAGAATGGTTTCCTCTTAGAGGCGTCATCAGTCTGTCTGTCATTGACAGTCTGCGTTTCTCCTCCTCCCTCTGTAACCCTTCACCCCACATGTAGAGCTGAGTCATTGAGGAACAATACATCAAGGAGATGTCTGAGTTTTGTGGAGTTGGTACAGAGGACAGGAGAGGTGCTTACCAAATGCTGTCGCTCCCTCTGTCTAGGGGGTTTCCTAGAGCGTCATAGTAGACATCGATGGTCAGGTTGCGGTCCGTGTCGTGGGCTGAGTTAAAGTTGGTGATCACCCGGGAAGGAATCCCCAAACACCGAAGCACTGGAAGTCAAAAACCAGGGAGACAGCTTAGATGATGCTGACGCCGACACCGACGATGGTGGTGACGATCTCCATGTATATAGTGTTTTACTGTTTACAGAAGCATTTCCTCACAATAATCTTACGGGCTAGGTTGGTGGTGCAGTGGAGTCAGGAGATCTGGGCTTGAATACAGGTCCGACACTTGGTTATGTAGCTGTTGGCAGCTCAGCTCAGTTCTCTGAACCACAGCTCCCTCAGCTATAAAACGGGGCCAACAGCGCTCATGCCACAGGGCTGCTGGGAGGAAGGCGCCCGGTAAGCCTTACAGCACCATTTCTCACCTCTATGCCCCCAGGCTCTGCAGTTTCATCCCCTGTGAGTGCAGGTCACAACCTCCCTATAATTTAGCAGAGGGTTACTAAGTGTTGCTGTGGTCTGGCCAACCGCATGATTCTCTCCACATTTAGTTACATTACTCTTTGGATAAGTCTATTATTTTCCCCCTTTCTATAGGTAATAAGAAGATGATAACAATAACTTACATTTATATAGCAGTTTAAGGCTCATTGAACTCACAGCAGCCCTGGTAGGCAGGTGGTACAATATGATTATCCTCATTCTACTGAGTCTCAGTGATGTTAAATTCACAAAGGGAATTTAACAAAGTCAGAACTGGAACCCAAGACTCCTGACTCCTAATTCAGGGATGGGAGTTGGGGACAAGCTTTTGAGAGTGAGTTCACTACTCTGTACTGACCCAGCCAGGCTGCATTTCCCCCAGGGTACCTGTATTCAGGGTCCCAGCAAAGACCCAACATTGGCCAAAGCGGACAGGCTGGAAACGATTTTTCTTCCATTGCTTCAGGATCTCCACACTGCCATTCCAGTTCCTAGGGTCCATGCCACCAGTGTAATCTCCACTCCAGTTCCCAGATAACACACCATTATCATCATTGCCATTGATCTGAAAAACACCTGTGTCCAGTCAGTTCCCCATGTGGAGAGGAGGAAAGGTGGCAATGTGTGGAGAGTGGATGAGGAGAGGAAGAAGTCTTAGAAGAGAAGGAGAAGAGCTCAGTATGGCGTAGAGCAGAGGTGCCCAAACTTATTTGGCCTACAGCCTCTTTTTCAAAAAAAATTACTCAGTGTCCCCCTGGAAATCAAACTTGCTTTAACCCTTTAATTTTTTTAAAAAATTTGCATCATTTCAAAAAATACATAACATTTTTTTAAAAAAATGACACATCTTAAATTTAATAATTTATTGTAAATTTGTGGTTTTTTCCTGCACTGAAATTCTGATGATGCAATATTGTGTCATGTAACCATGTAGTATCATATTGTAAACAAGTCATTACACACACATATTCCTGCCCATGCATGCTGTACTTCCCAATAGTGCATGACATGCTTGCCTGCCAACACTTGCTTGTTAAGACCTCTTGGTGGACTTGACCACTGATTGGTTTATAACTTGCATTTTGTGTGTTTATTTGGAAAATAATGTAATCACTACGATATTAACTCTGTTACACAACAGTTAAAACACGTATGAATGGTTTTTCAAAATTTTCTTCTCTTCTTATGTTTCCATTACCCCCTTATTTTTATTCAACACCCCCCAATTGTTCTCGAGGCTATTATGGCCCCCACTCCATGGTTCTAGGGCCCCCAGGGGGTGGTACTGCCCACTTTGGGAACCTCTGAAAAATAGTGCCTTGGGAATCAAGACACCTCAACTCTCTGCATGGGTTTGGGCCAGTCACTTTCACTCTCTGAGCTTCAGTTTCTACCTCTATAGACTTTGACGTTCTCCGTATTACCCTGACTCTTTATGAATTAGCAATAGCATGGGAAATTTTATGTCAATTTTTTAATTTAAATCTATTAAAATCTTTCTGTATTAAAGGTATTTCCTATAAACAACCTATTGTTGGATTTTAATACATTTTGTAACCATTTCTTTTTGTCAAGCAGTTCAGTTAATTTACACTTAACGCTATAATCGTTAAATCTATTTTTCCCTTTCATCTTTTTTTTTTTTTTTTTTTTGCTGAAGCAATTGGGGTTAAGTGACTTGCCCAGGGTCACACAGCTAGTAAGTGTCAAGTGTCTGAGGCCGGATTTGAACTCAGGTCCTCCTGACTGCAAGGCCAGAGCTCTATCCACTGCACCACCTAGCTGCCCCCCTCTCATTCTTTATTAAATTATTTTTAGATTTGCTGGAAGGGAATATTCTTGTTGTTACTATTATTAACCAAACTTGTCAAAACCATTAAAATAAATTTCCTCTGTCTTATACTACTAATCATATTCATGCAAAAGTCTTTTAATTTCACATAATCAAAATTATGTATTTTATCTTTTGTGATCCATTTCTAGTTAAAAATTCTCTTCCTAACCATAGTTGTAAAATATATCTTATTTCACTTTATTCTAACTTCTTTATGGTGAAACCTTTTATATTTAGGTCATATTTCTATTTTGAGCTTATCTGTGATGTATGGTATAAAATGATGGTCTAAACTTATTTTCTAGGGCAAGTAGGTGGGGCAGTGGATAAAGCTGGGCCAGAAGTCAGAAAGACTCATCTTCCTGAGTTAAATCTAGCCTTGTCTAACTTACTAGCTGTGTGACCCTTGGCAAGTCACTTAACCCAGTTTACCTCAGTTTCCTCATCTTTAAAATCAACTGGAGAAGGAAATGGCAAAACCCCAAACAGGATCATGAAGTGTTAGATATGACTGAACAACAACAAACCTAATTTCTGCCATACTGCTTCCCACTTTTCCTGGCAGTGCTTGCCAGATAGGGAGTTCTTCCATACGTAGTTTATATTCTTGGGTTTAATGAGTTATTGAAATAGACGGATTTGTTTATATATTATGTGCCATTGATATGCTTTTTTCTTGTTTAATTTTTTTTACTAGTACCAGTTTTACAATATAAAGTCTTTACAATATAAAGTCTGGAAGTATTATTCTCTCTTCATTCTTCTTTTTAAATTTTATTTCAATTAAGATTCTGTACCTTTTGTTACTCCAAATGAATTGTTATTATTTTGTACGGCTCTACAGACTCCTTTGTTAGTTTCATTAACACAGCACTAATTTTTAAATTAATTTAGGTAATGCTGTCATTTTATTATATTCGTATAGCTTAACCACGAGCAGTGACTATCTCTTCAATTACTTGTCATTCTTTATTCTCTTAAAGAGTGCTTTGTGATTGTATATCTATATCTATATCTTGAGTGTTTCTTAGTAGACTGACTCCCAGATAGTTTGCATATTTTGTAGTTATTTTGAATGGGCTTTCTTTCTATTATTTCCTCTGGATTTTGTTACTGCTATACTATTAAAGATACAGATTTTTAAAAACTCTACTTCACTTTTTTCAGAGAAGAGACTTATTCTGAAATGTTTTCGCTTTTATAAAATGACGGGGGTGAACTAAGCTTTGACAGTTAATGTTTCAAGGCCTCTTCCAGCAGCTAATGTCTATGATTCTATTTAGAACAAGCAGCCCAGAGATTAGTGCTCCCCTGATTGCAGTTGGGCAAATCTTACAAAAAAAATCTTACACCCTGCCTCTCATTTTGATGGGGCCATCATTTGAGATCATAAGATATGTTTATAGACAGGCCGAGATGAAAGATTTCGCCATCTATCCCCATCTGCTGAATCACCAGGGTCCCAGCATGGAAAGTAGTAATCAGCTGGGTTACCCTGGGGCTGTGCATGTGGTAATTAGTGCAGTGCACCCAGCCCAGCCCAGCTGTGAGTTTGAGAGGGATCATCTCCAAGGTGTAGCTCAGGAAACTCTGGGGAGATAAAGCAGTTTGCCTGAGGGGCTAGGAATGAGTCAGCAGCAGCAGCTGAAGCCCAACTTGGAGAATGTGCAGGCTGCAGGCTTCAGCTTTTCTGCACAAATCTCCCCTGATCTTTGGTTTGTTTTACTTTTTTTTTTTTTGGGCTAGGCAATGGGGTTAAGTGACTTGCCCAGGGTCACGCAGCTAGTATGTGACTATGTGTCTGAGGTCGGATTTGAACTCAGGTCCTCTGAATCCAGGGCCGGTGCTCTATCCACTGCTCCACCTAGCTGCCCCTCCCCTGATCTTTGGCTTGGCTTTCAGTGCTCTCGCTTCTTCTGAAACCTCAGCTTTCAAAGTCTCACCTGCCCTCTGAAGCCTTCTTTGACCACCTTAAATGTCTATTGATTTTTAGAATATCCAAGTTATAAAGGGGCAGCTGGGGCATAGCAAGGAGAATGCCAGAAAACAAAGTGTTTTCTGGAGGAAGGAAGCCACTTAATAAACGCTGTTGCTTCTTAATGCCGAGAATACAGAATTATATGCTTCCAGTGGCAGGTGACCTTAGGGGTCATGTAGTCCAATCCCCTCCTTTCACAGGTAAGAAATCTGAGGCCCAAAGCAGTTGAGTGACTTGTCCAAGGTCACACTGCTGTGATTCAAACCCAGTTCTTCTCATTCCAAATCCAGAGATCTTTCTACCTCACCATGATGCCCTGACTTCCCCCCTGTCATTGACTAAGCTTTATGTTAGGTATGTCCCTTCTTTGTTACAGGTCTCCGTCATGTCCTCTTGTAAAATGAGGATGCTGAGTGAGCCGATTTCTAAGGTCTCTGACTTTGGAACAGTCAATGAATTAGGGGCACCTAGGTGGTGCAATGGATAGAGCACTAGCCTTGGAGTCAGGAGGATCTGAGTTCAAATCTGACCTTAAATACTTACTAGCTGTGTGACCCTGGACAAATCACTTAACTCCAATTGGATCCAAAAGTCTATGAATTATTTGAAGAGACTTTAGTGACAAAGATAGACAGAATACAGGGCTTCTGGCTAAGCGTTTTGAAGACAGTAGTCTCCAGAAAGTGGGAGGGCAAAGTGGGGATTTTGTGGTGATGTTCTGAAGGCTCATCAGTAGAGATGCTGGCATCCTAGACCAGAGAGGCAGGGTTTCTGACCTGGATCTAAGAAGTCATTTCAATGAACTTTTTAAAATGTTAAAAGTTAAAAAGTTCAAAGTCAGAGAGATTGCTTTACCTTTTAACCTTTTGGCTAAGTCAATTCACCAGCCAACTGGGCTAATTAACAAGATGAAAGGTAAAGAGATTTCTAGTTAATTAACTAGGTGACAGGTGACAAGTTAAAGCCATCCCTTTGACTTTGAACTTTTAAATGTTTGTAGGGAGCCAAGTGGTACAATAGAAGGTGCCCCACTGAGAGTGAGGAGCCCTGGACTGCAGCTCTGACTGTGCTTGTAATTCTGGGTTTGACCTTGGGTGGATCACTTCCTTTCTCTGGGCTGCAGCTTTCCCACATGTAAGACAAAAGTGATGAACCACTGAGCTCAAAGATACTCTCCAGTTCTAACATTCTGTGATGCTCAGATTCTTTAACTTCTATCACGAAGGCCGAACCAGTTCCAAGATACCAGGCCACTCTCACAGGAAGAGTGGAGAAGCTAGAGGTGCCTTGATGAAGCTTCCTGAGGACAGGGCTATACCAGAAATGTGCTCTTGTAGAGCCCCCACTACAGCCTCCTGGGACAGACTGGAACTGGGAACTCTATCCATCCTTAGAGGCCCAGCTCCCATAACACTTCATCCAAGAAAATTCCTCTGAGCCCACCTGCCCCCTATCACCAAACATACGCAATCAAATGCTTTCCCATGAATACTTAGGACAACTGGTCTGTTATCACCATGTATTTTGCAGAAGGGTTACTTTTTGTCTATGTCTCATCTCTTTTATTGGATTATAAGCTCAACAGGGATGGTACAAGAGAAAGAACATTGGATTTGGAAGACCTGAGTTTTCTTTTTTTTTTCTTTTTCCTCTAGGCAATTGGGGTTAAGTGACTTGCCCAGGGGCACACAGCTAGTGAGTGTTATGTGTCTGAGGTACGATTTGAACTCAGGTCCTCCTGATTTCAGGGCCGGTGTTCTATTCACTCCGCCACCTAGCTGCCCCTGAATCTTAGTTTTCTAATTATTATCTATGTAACCTTGGGAAAGTCAATGAACCTCTCTGGGGCTCAGTTTCCCCATATGTAAAATGAACTTTGTAACATCTCAGGTCCCTTCCAACGCTCCATCCTGTCATGTGCTAGGGTAGGGGGTGTGTGTCTTTTTCTTAGTATCTCACCTATAGCCTGGGATAGTACAGAATAGTTGTTTAATAAATGCTTGCTTGCTTGCCTGATGAATGAATGAAGGCTTTTGCAGGATGTGGCAGAGCTGGGGCCAGGATAAGAACAGTTCACATCTCTAAAGCTTTTTGTGGTTTAAAATGCACTTTCCTCACAATAATACCTAAGAGGGAGGAGATATAAGGATTGCTATCCTTATTTTATAGATTAGGAAATTAAAGCTCAGAAGGGGAAGTCATTTGCCCAGGATCACCCAACCAGTGAGTATTAGAGCTGGAAATGGAATCCAAGTCTTCTGATTCCAAGAACAGGCACTTTCCAGAGCCTCCAGCTGGAGGCAGCTAGGTGACACGGAAGACAGAGTGCTGGGCCTAGAGTTAGGAAACCCTGAGTTCAAATGCAGCCTCAGTTGTGTGACCCTAGATGAGTCACTTAATTTCTGTCTGACTCATTTTCCTCAACTGCAAAATAGGGATAACATTTGTAAAGTGCTTGGCACAATGCTTGGCTCATAGTAGGTGCTGTATAAATGCATATTCCCTTCCCTTCCCCATGCCATGTGGAACATTGGAGGAATGTCCTAATGTCCTCTCTCCTTTCTCTTAGGCTGGGTTCTTGCTTTTAACACTACTAGACTTTGTAGACTAAACCCTGCCTTGCTTTCTGGGCCTCCTGGGCAGAGGCCCTGGCCACACTGACCATAAAGCCAGAAGAAGAAGAACTATGAACCAGCGTCAGAGTTAGAATTGTCTAGGACCTCAGTTACGGGCTGGATAATACTTTTCTTACCATGCCACTCAGTACTCGACCAATGTATTTAGGGTCATTTCTTCTGGCCACATCAGTGATGGGGTCACGGCGAAAGTTGAGGCTCCTGTCCAGGATCATGAGGGAAATGTTCAGAATGTCTTCTTCATACTGTTCAGAGACAGAAGCCTGGGGTTACTACTCGATATGTAACTTGTAATGAGGGAAGGAAAGAGCCCTCAGGGAGGGCCACAAGGTAAGCTCCAGGCTCTCTGCTGGCACCCATGCAGGAGCAGCCAAATGATGCTCTTCTTGTCTCCTCCTTGAGCTGACTCACCCAAAATGTAGGAGAAAAGTGTCCCGGGTTCCAAATCTGCCACTAACTTGTGTAGCTTTACAGAGGGGACTTGATCTCTTGGTTGGACTAGATAATACCCAAGGTTTCTTCCAGCTCTAAATCCTATGACCCTATTAAAAAATCTGAGATAATTTAGGGGTTCAGGCTGGAGGATGGGTTTGCGCTGCTGTGTAAGAATTTGAAAGACATGAAGCAGTAGCTATCCATACCACCAGAAAGCCAGCCAGTATACTAATTTATTACAATGCTGTCATCAAATCTAAAGTCATTGAGGCTATCAGAGAACCACTGAATATTATAGTTAGAAGTAGCCTTAGAATATAAAGCTTAAAATATTAGACTTAGAAGGGCCCTTAGATCACTCATAGCCCTAGAGCTAAAGGTGACCAAAAGCCAGATGATCCAAAGTCCTCCTTTTTGATTGATTAGGAATCTGAGACCCAAAGAGAGGGGCCATCCCCAGAACTCACCCCATAGACCTTTATCAGTCTGTACAATTGATTAATTGCCCCTGGGTCACCTCCCCCCACCCCAGGGTCCTGTTGTCTTTCCAACCCTCTCTTTCCAACCCCTGAGAGGATGAGGGTCAGACTATGTCCTCTCCCACAGAGACAGAACCTGTGGTCAGACTGTCCTCTTCAGTGATGCTGTCCACTGGACCCTCCCGAACTGTTTTTGTCCTAGGTGAAAACAGTTCTAGTCATGGCTCTGAACACTAGTCATAGAATGCTAAAGCTAGAAGGGACCTTCTACACAGATCCTACATTTAGAGCTGGAAGGGACCTTCAGGACCTACAGCCTAGTCTAACCCTTTCATTTTACAGAATGGTGAGTTAGAAAAGTCCTTATACTACAGAATGTCAGAGTTGGAGAGTACCTTAGAAAAGAAAGGGTTTTAAGCTCTTAATATGTATTAATAAAAGTAAATAAGGTATTCATTAAAAGCTAAGAACTGCACTAAGACTTTTGGGACACCTTGTAGAATATTAAAGGTGAAGAGACCTTAAAACAAAGAATGCTAGAGCCAGAAAAGATCTTAGAGATAATATCCAACCCCTAGAGACACATAGGTAGCACAGTGGATAGAGCATGGGGCCTAGAGACGGGAAGATCTGAGTTTGAATCTGGTCTCAGACACTAGCTACGTGACCCTGGGCAAATCACTTAACCCTGTTTGCCTCAGTTGCCTCATTTATAAAATGAGCTGGAGAAGGAAATGGCAAAGCACTCCAAGACCTTCATCAAGAAAACCCCAAACGGGGTCATGAAGAGTTAGACGTGACTAAAACAACTCAACAACAAAAGTCCAACCCCCTTATTTGAACCTTAGGCTCAGGGGAAGAAAGTGACTTGGTCAAGTGACTGGTGGGTCCAACTACAAAGTGTATCAAGTACATTTTTCCAAGCCAGGAAAACTCAGTCTCACAGTGTAGTAGAGGTAGAAAGAGGGGAGAAGACCAAAGCAGGAGCTTGGAGCTTTGAATGAGAGTGGGAGCCAATAAGATCTGGATGTATTTTTTAGTCAAATGACTAACCCACAAGAATATATACAAATGATAATCCAACTTATTCTGGTTTTTTTTTTTGATTGGGCAATGGGGGTTAAGTGACTTGCCTAGGGTCACGCAGTTACTAAGTGTTATGTGTCTGAGGCCGGATTTGAACTCAGGTCCTCCTGAATCCAGGGCCAGTACTCTATCCACTGCGCCACCTAGCTGCTCCCCCCCCCCCCAACTTATTCTTTGAAGTCAATCACTCCGGAAATTTGTATGCAAACCTTTGGCTGCTTCATTATTAATTTACCTGTCCATAATTCCAGCCAACCATGCTGATTCGATTTGTGCTCCCTACGAATATGACACCGGCATCTTCCTCCACATACTCTTCTCTCTCTGCGTTATTCATCATGAACACACCATCCGCTGGAAAACCCAAAAAAGGAAATGTTTGAGGTGGAAAAGAATTAGACAGGACCCTTTTCATCTTACACTCCTTCCAGACAGTCCTCTGTGCCAGGGCTGTCTCAGGGGAGGCCCTGCTCTGGCCTCACTGACACAGAGTCTCTGAATTGGAAGAGACCCCAGATGTCCTCTAGTCCAAGAATCCTTAACCTGAGGTCCTGTGGATAGATTCTAGTAAGTCCATGAACTTGTATGGGGGAAAAAATTACATCTTTATATTCACTAACCTCTTCCTGACATTTAGCATTTCCTTTGATTGTGATTTTAAAAACCAAACAACTAGTATTCTGTGAGGGGGGTTCATTGGCTTTACCAGACTGCCAAAGGGGTCTATGACCCCGTGCAGATGAAGCTTGCTCTAGTCCAACTCATATCTGAATAGGAATCAGTTCCATAACATCCTGACAAGTATCTAGCATCTGCTTAGAGACCTCCAGTGAAGTAAAGTGTGCTACTTTCGGCTAGCTCTAATCACTGACAAGTTTTTCTTTACATTAAGCTTAAATTATGCTCCTCTGCATCTTCCAACCTTTGTTTCTGACTCTGCCCTTTACAGCCAATTCATACAGAGCTAATCCCTTCTTCACATGACAGGTCTAGGCTTGATCCTTCTGACTACCTGTTCATGCTCTGGAAACAGTGAATGCACGTGGGAAGTGTGGTTGAAGAAAGGTTCTGCTGCCAACCAGCTCTAAATCCTATGACTAAAATAAACAGTGATACTTTAGAAGTTCAAGCCGAAGAGATGAAATAACTGTGCTGCAGTATTGAGAATTTGGAAGATGTGCAACAGTAGCTGTCTACACCACCAGGAAGCCATTCGGTATTACTAGTTTACTGAAATGCTGTCATCAAATCTAAAGGCATTGATGACACTGTCAGAGAACTACTGAATATTAAATCACTGTCTTGTTGACTTACTGGGACAGAAATATTATTGATGTATAGAGTCCTTGTGCTAGAACTCACCTTTGAAAGTCTCTGACCCACTGCCCTGACTCCAATGAGTATCACTGAACTTTAGAGATATAACAAGCCTTCGACAGAACAGAGCTGTATAGAGTTGCAAGAGACATCACAACGTAGAGCAGAGATTTCAGAGCTGGAAGGGACCTTAAAGCATGGAAGGCAGAACATTACAGCTAGAAATGACCTCAAAACATACAATGGCAGAACTAGAAAAAACACAGAACACACAATGTTTGAGTTGAAAGGATATTTAGGATGTAAAATATTACGACCAGAAGAAGCCTTTGAAATGACTTAGCCCAAGCCCCTCATGGAGAAAGTGAGGCCCAGAGATAGGAAGCAAAGTGCCCCGATGACCCCAAGGCAGTGGAAGAGCTAACATTAAGACCTAGCTTTCCTGCCTCCTGGGCCAGGGCTCTTTCCAGTGTGCCCTTTTTCTTGTGTGGGCAGTGAGCTACACCTGGAGTGGGAGCCCAGTGGTAGGGAATGACCTGGTCTGGAGGCTGGCTCCTACCTTGCAGCCAGGGGTTAAACAGCAGAACCCACGTCCCCAGAGTTGTGGAGGTGCTTCCACCTTGAGAGGCAATCTGAATGCTGAGTGTATATCGACCAATAGGGGCATTGGCTGGACTGGAGATGGCGACGATCACAGAGCCGTCGCTGTTGTTGGACGAGAGTACTGCACTCCAAGAGCTGCCACTGGACCCAGTAGACAAAGGAATCACGGCTTTGGTCCGGGCTGATTCGGAGGGGTTTGGACCTTTCCAGAAACAACAGAGAACAATGGAATCCATGTAGCATATATGAACAAGGAGTTAGGATAGAGTAAGTGAAACTGAACATTGTCATAGCCAGAGTCAGGCTGAGTCACTGAAGAAGTCATAGACTATCACAGCGGGAAGGGATCTTGGAATGTTATGTCTAATATCTCTCATTTTCTAGATGAGGAAATTGAGGCACAGAGAAGGAACCAGAGATAAGAACCCAGGTCATATAATTCCCAGGAAAACTCTCTGAACTGCTGCTGCCCCTAAAAGTCACCAAATTAGATAATTTTAGAGCTTGAAGGGACAGCTAGGTGGTACAATGGAGTCAGGAATACCTGAATTCAAATCCAGCCTCAGACACTTACTAGGTGTGTGACCCTGGGCAAGTCACTGAGCTCCATTTGCCTCAGTGTCTTCATCTGTCAAATGAGCTGGAGAAGGAAATGGCAAACTACTGCAGTATCTCTACTAAGAAAAACCCCAATGGGGTCATGAAGAGTCAGACACAACTGAAACAATGAACAAGAACAGAGCTTGAAGGGATCTTAGTCATTATCCAGCACAGACCTAGAGAAGTCACACAGAGCCTAGATCTCTTGCATCCTGGTCCAGGGCTCTTTCTACTACATCACGCGTCTTCATCCTAATCATACCATGCTAAAGCAGTAAACTTAATACAATTTATTCAGTGTCCGCTGCATGGAGAGCATTATGCTAGACCCCGGGAGAAAGAGAAAAAAAAAAAAAAAAAGAATTCCGTTACCTGTTGAGGCTGTGAAAGTCAGCCTCTCCCCAGAGGCAATGGGTCTGTTGAAGGACAACTTCAACTTAAAGGGCTGGCCCCTCCTTGTGATCAGCTCATTAAGGTAGTACTTGTCTGTGTGATGGGCATATTTGTTAGCTTGCATCTGCCAGTCGAAGCCCGAGAGTTGCAAAGCTGTGAAAGGATAAAGAAGAAGCTGCAGACTTTGGGGTCTTTCACAGAATAACAATCAGGCAATCAACATTTGTGAATCACCTACAAGGTGCTGTGCTAAGCACTGGGGAGACAAAAAGAGGGAAAAGACAGTCCCTGCCCTCAAGGAGCTTACAATCTAATGAAGGAGACAACATGCAAACAAATATAGACAAAGTAAGCTACATACAGGATAAATAGGAAATAATGAACAGAGGCAGAGGCAGTGGAATTAAGAAGTGTTGGGGAAGGTTTCCTGTAGAAGGTATTAGTTGAGATTTAAAGGAAGCCAGGGAGGTCACTAGGTGTTGCAGAGGAGGGAGAACATTCCAGGAATAAGGGACAACCAGAGAAAATGCCCGGGGCTGAGAGACAGAATGTCTTGTTCATGGAACACCAGGAGCCCAGGGTCACTGAATCAAAGAGTACATGTTGGGGAATAGGATATAAGAAGACTAAAAAGGTAGGAGTGGGCTAGGAGATGAAGGGCTCTGAATGCCAAACAGAGCTGTATTTGATCCTGGAGGCTAATGAAGGAGCTAGAGAACCTGGGACACTCAAGCTGGGGGCCACAGGCTACAGAGGAGAGGTGGAACTGGGAGCATTCAATCATGCATGCCTTTATGCATTCAACAGACATTACTAAGCAAATACTGTGGGCAGCCAGGTCGCACAGTGGATAGAGTACTGGGCCTGGAGTCAGGAAGAATCATCTTATTGAGTTCAAATCCAGCCTCAATACACTTACTAGCTGTGTGACCCTGGGCAACTCACTTAACCTTGGTTGCCTCAGTTTTCCTCATCTGTAAAATGAACTAGAGAAGGAAATAACTACTTCGGTATCTTTGCCAAGAAAACCCCAAATGGGGTCAAGAAGAGTCAGACACAACTGAAAAATGATTGAACAACAAATAGGCCCAGTGGTGGCATCCAAAAATAATTCTCCTTTCTCCAGCACTTTTTGGCTTACAAAATACTGTCCATACAAGACTCCATTGAGGTAGGCAGTATCAGTATTATGATCCAATTTACAGAAGAGGAAACCTGGGTTCAGAGAAAGTGACTTAGGCTGGTAGGAATTAGAACTGGGGTAGGGGGATGGTGTCAGACCTCAGGGATCATCTAGTCTAACTATCTCATTTTATGGACTTGTCTATGGTCACGGGTCTGGTTCAAGATTTCAAGGAAAAGGGACACAGCCACACTGTCCACAATGAAGGAGTCCTTTACTTCACTTTACTGCTGCCCCGGGTCTCAATCTCCACAGGATCACAGAGCTGGGATGGGGCCTGAGAAGGCCATTAAGTCTGACACCTCATTTTGCAGATGAGGAAACAGAAGCACAGAGGGATCAAGTGACCTACCTGGGTTCACAGTGCTAGTTAAGTGCCTAAGGAGAAATCTGAACCCAGGTCTTTCCTTCTCTCTAAGTCCATGCTGCCTCGCACTAGTTATGGTACTAAGGAGTCAAGTTGTACACACAACAGCCCCACCCCCACCCCACCCCCATCCCAGGGCTTGCAACTAAGAGGTGAGATGAGATAGAAATCCAAATAACAATAGTGTAAATTAATAATAATAATAATAATAGCTAACATTTATATAGAGCTCCCTGTGTTCGAGGCATTATGCTAAGCGCTTTACAATTATTATCTCATTTGGTCCTGACAACAACTCTGGGAGGTAGGCGCTGTTGTTATCTCCATTTTACAGATGAAGAAATGGAGGCAATCATGGGTTAAGTGACTTGCACTGGGTCACAGAGTTATTATCTGAGGTTGGATTTGGACTAAGGTGTTCCTGACTCCAGGCCTGGTGCTCTTATCCACTATACCACTTAGCTGCTAATAATAATAATAGCAGCTAACATTTATATAGCACTTACTGTATGCCAGGCACTATGCTAAGCACTTTACAAATATTACCTCATTTGATCCTCGAAAACGCTGGGAGGTAGGTGCTGTTATTATCCCGTTGTTTTAGATGAGGATACTGAGGTCGAAGTTAAGTGACTTGCCCAGGGTCTGGGGTCAGAATTGAATGAACTAGGGTTTTCCTGACTCCAGGCCCAGTGCTCTATCCATCAAGCCACCTGGTTGCACATGGCTCCTCTGTGGTCAAATGAGATATTTCTGGCCATATTTCCTGGGCTTAGCTGAGCCGTTGAGTACCCTGTGGGCAGGGACTGTGGCCCGTTCTTAGATGTGTTCCCAAGGACTAAGCACAGGGCTGTGCACATGTGAAGGGTGTGACGTGACCCTCACGAGGATGTGTGACCATCTCCAGGCTTGATGCTGCACCCTAAGGACTTGCAGCTGAAATCTCCCTGAGGTGCGGCCACCTCCACTAGAGTTCAAGCTCCTTGACAGCAGGGCCTATCTGACTTTACTATTTGCATCCCCAGTGCTCTGCACATAGTTATAAGTGCTTTATAACTGGTTTATTCTTTCACTCATTCAATCAATAACTATTTGCTGAATTGAGCTGAACAGCAGCAATTTCTCTTTCTGTCAGGTTGGACAAAGAAAGAGATTGATGAAAGGTGTGCCTCCTCCCTGCCCCACGGGGCATTATAAAATTTCAATTTATGTCTCAGGTTATTCTGGTCTTTTTCTTTCTTTCTGAAAGTGCAGGCGAGTTGTTTGTGTCTCTGATGAAGGAACTTGGATTAGGGAAAAGGGTGTCTAAAGTAGCTCCAGCCCCTCCCTGACTCCACCCACCAGGAATACAGCCCTAGGCAGGTAGTGCTGTAAGCAGGGAGGAGAAGACTCCAAGGATGGGGAGGACCCCTGGTTGCTCAAAGACTATGAGTTCAATCAATTAAATTCATTTCAATTCAGGGTTATAGGCCTCTAAGCTCCATGTTCTAGGCAGGGCCATCTCTAACAATGAGGATGATGCCAGCACACACTTATATATCCCTTGAAAATACTCATCATAACCCTTTGAGGTAATAACACGTTATGATTCTCATTTTATAGATGAGGAAACTAAGGTGAAAAATGCACAGTAAAATGATGTTCAAGGTCACACAGACACCAAGTATTGAAGCTGGGCCTTCAAATCCGGTTTCCTAACTACAAGTCCAATGTCCTTTCTACTATATTGCATGTACTAAGTACCCAAGGCCACCCACAGGGAGCAAAGGAACAAATTTTGCTGTGAACTATTTCTCTCCATCAATATTATTTGTATGTCTGTGAAACCAGGTTAAAGTGAAAAACACCAAAGATGGCCTTAGACAGGACCATCTGTTTGCAGTCCATCTCCTGGCTCATTCTTGGGTGTCCAGCTTATATCTAAAGTTGCTTTATGTGTTTAAGTTATGAACCCATGACTCTGACTTGCTGCCCAGCAGGATGAAATGCATCCAGGGAAGGGTGCTCAGGACCCTAGTGGACAGAATTCTCCCATTTAACCTCTTTAGTTTTCCTTCTTTAGCCAAAAAAGAGGTATTTTCACTTCATAGACCTTATAATGTCAGAGCTGAAATTGCCATTAGAACATAGAATGTCATTGTTGGAAGAGACCTCAAAACAGAACACAGAAATTCAGAGCTGAAAGGGCCTTAGAGCATAAAATGTTAACAAATGGAAAGTTTCATTCCATTTAAATACATATTTATTAATCTACTAAGTACTGGGTACTATGGATAAAAAGATAGAAAATTACACCCTTCCTAAGGGAGCTTACAGTCTACTGTGGAGCTATGCCATGTACCCAGATAAATATAATGCAACATAGATTTTGATGATGGCAAAGGAGAGATCCAGAATGCTGTAGGACAATTTAAGAAGGAAGAGAATATTTATGGCACAGAATATACAGTGTTAGAAGTGCGGGGGAGACACGAGAGACCATTTAATCCAACTCCTCATTTTATACTGTGAGATTCAGAGAAGGGATTGTCTTGGTCCCAGCTGCACAGCTAGTAAGGAAGAGGTACCAGGACCTAGGTCTCCTGAACAGCCTGACACCAGCTGCCTCCAGGGAGGATGAATGCATGGAGGGAAAGGCCTTCTTACTAACAGCCTCCAGATCGCACTGGAAATCTAGAAAAAGGGAGGAGGCAAAGGCTATGGATTGATTTCTCTACCTATTTCCTCAGTCCCTACCAGCAGTCAGCTTAAGGGCTCTGTTCCCTTCTTCCTGTCAGGGAAGAGAGCACCAGTTCTTATTTCATTTCTCTGTGAGCACCATTTCCCCAGGTGTTGAGGCTCATACTGGCAGGGTTTTGGGTGCTGAGGGGAAGACAGATAATCTCTCTGAGACAAATACAGAGAAGCATAGAAGCCAGGAGGCTTGTAAAGACAGTGGGGTGGGGAGGGAGATAGCTCCTTACTAATGAAAGAGGAATTCTCCAGAAATTTCTCTTGGTATGGAGTCTAAGATTGATCTAGTGAGTAAATCTTTTAATAAGCCAAAGCTGGAAGACAGGTCCACAAAAGATTCATCAGCACCTGGTAGAGTGGGAATGATTCCCATTTCAGGTCATATGAGGCAAATCCTGCCCCAGATGGGGGGGAGTGGTTTCTGTCCCAGGTGAAAGGCCTTGGGGTGAGGGGAGTGGAGGAGGTGGCTCCTCTTCTTAGCCTAATAACAGAGTAACTAGATGCATAAGACATTAGCCATCTAGGACTATTTCTCAGATATGCTTGACTTAGTGGGCCTAACTCTAGCCTGGGTGGTTGTTCCTGTATGTTGAGGGAAAGTCTAACAAAGAAACCCTGGTTCCTAAAGGTTTAGAGTGAGATCTAGGGTCCTCCTATTGTTTATGTAGAAGGAAATGTCAAGCTGCTCCTTTTCACAGAAATCCACTGATAGAAAGGGCCTTAGAAGATAGAATGTCAGAGTTGGAAGGGACTTTGGAACACAGATTGTCAGAGCTGGAAGGTGCCCTTAGAACACACAAGGCCAGAGGGGGAAGGGACCTTAGAACATAGAATGTCAGGAGTAAAAGGCACTTCAAACTCCATCTGGTC